TATCTATCTATCTATCTATCTATCTATCTATCTATCTATCTATCTATCTATCTATACCTATTATTAATCCTTTCTCTCTTTTCCTACTTACCACTCACCCTGTCTGTCTACCTCTACCTATCATTAATGCTTTTTGACTCTTTCATTCTTTCTTTTCTTCCTTCCATCCATCAATTTTGGGAGTATCCAGAGTGCAGCAAAAAAAAAATATTAAACAACAATATTTCTTCCGCTTCCCCATCCCTAAAAATATTCCAACCAAGCTATAGGAATTAATCTTCGATCACAGTTAGTCAGCCATTTATGTATAATTTTTACCCATTCCATCCTTTCCAGACCTTCACTGTATTGATGTTCAACTACATACACCGCACACTCCACATTGCATCATACAATCTGTCATTTGCTGCAAATTGCTCAGATTCTCTGCCAACCACACAGCAACGCTACACCAGGCCCATTCACATCCCTACCAACAAACTTTCTCATCACCATAAATATCCCTTGCATTTCTTTTCTTTTGCGTGGTCATTTCCCCTTTCTCCCTAACCTCCAACGTAATTATTTTTTTTACCGCCCTTGTTTTCCAAAATCATCTTTTCCTCCAAGATCTAGTCTTGGCACTGCCCAAATACGGCCTGGTCTATAAGCAGATTCTCTCATCCCTCTGTATCCTCCCATCAGTCCTCTCGATGGGGCATCATAACTGACCAAATCAATAAACGCATTCCAGTAAATGATGGAAATGTAACCAAAAATCTGGCACATATTATCATATGTGATGGCCTTGATGCTAAAGCAAAAAAAAGGGGGGCAAAAATACACAAGTGACTAGAAAAGATGTCAGGAAAACACATAGATCTTAAACCTGAACTTTGTTTATTAGGTATAGTACCAGAAAAATTTGATAAACAAAGTATATATTGAATATTGCATGTATTAACAGCAGCGAGGATTATATTCATGCAGCATTGGAAAAATAAATACCATTAGATGAAGAGATAATTAAGAAGATATTGGATTGTGCAGAAATGGACAGACTTACATTGAAGATTAAACAGAAAGAAGATACAGAATACCACCAAACATGGAATTTATTTTATCAGTGGCTGGAAAAAAGGGGTAAAGATTAGGAATATAATTTGTATTGTTAAGCAAACAAAACAATCCAGACAACACGATGTTTATTAAGCACTAATTAAAGGTAATAGTAGAAAATAAGTAAAACTTTATTTAAACATTTTAAAAATGCATTTTGAAGCTTATTCCTTCGATATGTAGACCTATAAACAGACTAAAACACCTAAGTCACATATACAATCCAAACAGACCCGTTTCTCACCCATCCTTCAGTCTCCAAATGGCCTCAGCACCTTTTTCTGTAATATGAACAAACACAAACACGCTAGCATTGTAAACCAACCATGGTCATTTTACGATGGGCGGATATACAGATATTTTCAATAAATAAGAAGAATAAACACACCGTGCTAAGTTACAAGAAGGCCTATTGCGGCTTAGCACAATGTGTGAATGGAACAAGCTCGCATATGTTGTTTGTGGTTTTTGAACTAATCACAGTTAATTTTCAATAAAAGTTTTTTTAAAAAAAAATACAAAAAAGAAAACTTTTACACAGATTGGAAAACAGGTTTGGGACAAAGGTCGGATAGCTAGCCTTCAGGAATGGACAGCTCCCAGTGTATCATTGCCGGAATCTGACTTCATTTCTACTCTTCCCCATAATTATCCAGAATATAGCCTCTTTTCTCAAACCTAAAGACGCTCCTTTCAATTTCTGAGCTGGTTGGTGTACTGCACTCAGATGCAAAGAGAGGTCATGCTGGAAAATGGCCAACCCCCCCCCAAAAAAAACAAAAACCCAGGTCGAAAAGGACAAAAAACAGACCCCCAAGTGGCTGAAAATGGGCTGAAAATGAGCCAAAACTCCCAGCCCAGAAACAGGCCTGAACATGTCCAGCAGAGTGCAACAAGAGGCCATGGAGGGTGAAAACGAGGCACAGGGACTCCCTGCACCCCGTTTTGGCCAGCAGGATGATGCAGGAGGCACCCATCCCCCCCCCACCCGCCAGACCACAGAGGAGAACTACCATTTTGATCCGGCCCTCAAAGAAATCCAGTTTGACACCCCTGGATTAGGCCCATTCCTGGAGAAAATGGAACTCTGTTTTCCCCAAATGAGGGTAATTGACTTACTTATCTGTCAGCCTGCGAACTGACTGCTTAGTAGCAGCTGGAGTTGAAGGTGTTGTGGGAACAGAGCCACAGAAGAGGGCCAAATTTCCCCAAATCCCATCATCCTAAATAATCACAGTGGCACTTTGGACTGGATGACCCCTGGTTTATCATTCCACGATAATAAGGAAGCCACCAAAGAAGAATTCTGTTTGTTTTTTTTTAATTCTCTTTGCAGCTTGGATTAATGACCAAAGCCTCTTCATTAACGGCTGCTGGGCCATCAATTAGAATTTAATTGCCAATTTGGATCCCCTGCCTCCTTTCTGAGGCGAGCACCTCAGTTTTTATGCCTGTGACGCCATTCTCAAGAATCTGAAAAGGATGCCAGCTTGAAACACAAAGAAAGACTGGATTTCTTCGCTCCTTTGCAGCCTGGCGGCGGTTGATACCAAACAAGGGATGGGTTCCCCCATTTTTAACCAACGCTAGGCTAATCTCGAATTCTCTTCTCAGATCCGATCCCCTTTTCGGAGCAGAGGTGGGAAGTGGGCGAAAGAGAACCAAATCCAGAAGTGGCAGGGCACGCGGTCTGCCTCGTAAGGTTACTCCGACGCCGTAAGCGTCAGGTTACTATTTATCCAACACGAGCAGAGTTGGCGCACGCATCTGGCGCCTGGCACTTACTGCAATTATTTATGATTTCCACCAAGATTTAAAAGCTCATCGCCGGCCTTGTAATGCAGTAAGTGATTGCACGGCTAATGTAATTAAGGGGGGGGGGAATGATGATGTCCACGTGGCACGGCAGATGGTGGCATCCGTTGCAATCGGCAGTGCACAACTGGCAGAGAACTGCACAAGGGCAGCAAGGCCCTGGCAGCTGGAGCCTTCATCACCATTGGCCTGGAAATAAAGGCGAGGTGGGGAGAAGAAAGGAAGGAACAAAAGGACCCACCAATTGACTATGCGCCGTGAAGTCAAGGTAGCCGTTGGTGACCGCCCTAAATAGACCTCCTCCTCAATGACTTCATCTTGGTCCTTCAGGACTTCGCATGGAAGATCCTTTGTTGGTCACCAATCACCATCATTCGTCATCATAGTTGGAAGGGGCCTTGGAGGTCTTCTAGTCCAACCCCTTGCTCAAGCAGGAGACCCTGTACCATTTCAAATGGCTGTCCAATCTCTTCTTAAAAGCCACCAGTGATGGAGCTCCCACGACTCCAGGAGGCAAGCTATTCCACGGATCAATTGCTCACATTGATCGGAGATGCCTCCTTCGTTCTAGGTTGCTTCTCTCCTTGGTTAGTTTCCATCCGTTGCTTCTTCTGTTGCATTCAGGTACTTTGGAAAATAAGTTGACCAAAGTCTACAAGTCGATCTCCTTCTCCTCTTTTCTTCCACCTATCCCAGTATTATAACGTTATAAAGATTACCGAGATTGTATAGCTCCAGAAGGTCATCTACTCCTCCTTCCTTCCACTATCCCAGGATTTAAGAGTTCTGTAGGGATTACATGTCTCATATGATTATATGCCATCAAATCATTGACCACAGAGGTATATCTTCTCCTAGATGTCTTTAATTTGGTCATTTGGGTCTTCCAATGATGCACTCATCCCCATCCATCCATGTTTTGAAGCCATCTTTTTTTCTGCCTAGAAGCCATATTTTTTTCTGACCATAACAGAGTCATAGTGGCACAGTGGTTAGAATGCAGTATTGCAGGCTGACTCTGCTGACTGCCAGCAGTTTAATCCTGATCGGCTCAAGGTTGACTCAGCCTTCCATCCTTCCAAGGTCAGTAAAAGGAAAACCCAGATTGTTTGGGGCAAGAGGCTGACTCT